CAAGCCTTAGAAGAATTGAAGCGATACTTATCGAGCCCACCTCTGCTTCACACCCCGAAGGTAGATGAAAAGCTTTACTTATATTTGACAGTATCCGAGACAACGGTAAGTGGGGTACTGGTTCGAGAAGAGCAAGGTACGCAATTCCCTGTTTATTATGTAAGTCAAACTCTAGGAGATGTTGAAACTAGATACTCTCACTTAGAAAAATTAGCACTTGCATTAATAAGCGCATCTAGAAAGTTAAAGCCATATTTCCAGTGTCGCCCAATTTGTGTGTTAACAACTTATCCTCTCCGAAATGTTTTGCATAAGCCCAAACTATCAGGCCGATTGGCCAAATGTGCAGTCAAACTTGGCGGGTGCGATATTGAATATAAACCCCGAACGGCCATTACGTCTCAAATCTTGGCCGATTTTACGCCAACCCTCATACCCGAAGTGGAGAAAGAACTTCTGCTAAAATCGGGTACATCATCGGGGGTACCTTTTCTCGGACGGTGCCTCGAATGTGAAAGGGTCCGGGCTCAGCATTGTTTTGAAGCCACCAACAGGTAGTACTATTAGACAATCTATTAAAATTTCTAGGTTGACTAATAATGAGGTCGAGTATGAGGCCATGATTGCAAGTCTCGAGCTAGCTAAAAGCCTGGGGGAAGAAGTCATCGAAGCCAAGTGTGATTCCCTATTGGTCATAAATCAAGTAAACAAAAGCTTTGAAGTTCGAAAGGATAGGATGCAAAGATATTTGGACAAATTACAAGTAACCTTGCATTGCTTGAAGGAGTGGACTCTAGACCATGTGCCTCGAGAACAAAACAGCGAGGCTGATGCACTCGCCAACTTGGGGTCATCAGTTGATGACGATGATATTATCCCAAGGACCGTCGTCTAATTATCAAGATTTGTGGTCAAAGAGGGTCATGCTGAGATAAATTATACAAGTTTGACTTGGTATTGGAGGAATAAGTATATCGAGTATTTGAAAAATGGAAAGCTTTCATCGGATCACAAAGAGTCGAGGGCTCTGCAACCCAAGGCTGCTAGGTTCACGATGGATGAAGATGGAACATTATATAGAAGGACGTTCGATGGACCATTGGCGGTATGTTTAGGACCGGGGGACACCGATTATATTCTACGAGAAGTCCACGAAGGCACTTGTAGGAATCACTCCGGCGCCGAGTCTTTGATTCGCAAAATTATTAGAGCAGGGTATTACTGGGATAGAATGGAAAAAGACACGAAGGAGTTTGTCAAAAAATGTGATAAATGTCAAAGGTTTGCACCGATGATTTATTAGCCCGGAGAACAACTTCACTCGGTTCTGTCTCTATGGCCTTTCATATAATGGGGAATGGATATCGTCGGCCCCCTTCCAACGGGCCCAGGTAAAGCTAAGTTCATTTTTTTTATGACTGACTACTTTTCTAAATGGGTGGAAGCACAAGCCTTTGAGAAGTTCAGAGAAAAAGAAGTTAATGATTTCATTTGGGACCAGATCGTGTGTTGATTTGGGATACCTGCCGAAATCGTATGCAACAATGGCAAGCAATTCATCGGCAGCAAGTTAACGAAAATCCTTGAAGCACACAAAATAAAGAGGATCTTATCACCACCGTACCACCCAACCGAGAACGGACAGGCCGAGTCAACAAACAAAACTATCATTCAAAACATAAAGAAAAGGTTGGACGATGCAAAAGGAAAATAGAGAGAAGTTCTACCCGAAGTCCTTTGGGCATATCAAATGACATCGAAGTCCAGCACGGGGGCTACTCCGTTCTCTTTAGTATATGGCTTCGAGGCCTTAATACCGGTCGAGGTCGGAGAACCCAGCGCCAGGTTTCGACATGCATCGGAGGAGTCAAATCATGAGGCTATGAATACCAACCTCAAGCTATTAGACGAAAAACGAGAAGCAGCACTCATTCGGATGGCGGCGCAGAAACAAAGAATCGAGTGATATTATAATAGAAGGACCAACCTTCAATACTTCCGAATGGGGAACTTAGTTCTACGTAAAGTCACCCTCAATACTCGAGATCCGAATGAAGGGAAACTAGGCCCGAATTGGTAAGGAACGTACCGAGTCATTGGAGTTGTCAGCAAATGATCTAACAAACTTGGCACAATGGAAGGCGATCAATTGTCAAACAATTGGAATGTATCACTACTCAAACGATATTACCACTAAGGTATGGTCTTCTCCTTTTTCCATTTAAATTTAAGATTAACTCATTGCAGGTGTTCGATCGATGCCGATGGCACATTTCTACACGAAGACCTTGAGTTTTAAAGCACGCGTTGCACTCTTTTTCCCTTAGATCGGATTTTGTCCCAAATGGGTTTTACCGGTGAGGTTTTTAACGAGGTAACAACTATGTGCTACCTGAGAAGAACTCAACAGTATCCAAGGCTTCTTTTCAATCAACCTCGAATACTGGGGGCTGTCACGACCCAAACCTATGGGCCGCAACATGTACCCGGTACATTACTCAACCGAGTACAAACATAACGTATCTTTTCATATCATACTTATTATAGATAACTGAGCCAGAAGGCTGCCGTGAGATAAGTAGAATACAACAGGTAATACCAATTTATACGTAAGACATACGGGCCTATAAGGCCAAAATAATCACTTGATGTTCTAAATGTCAATACCACACAAGAGGGGGGTGATTTGTGTGGTACCCAATTTTTCGATCTAGACGAACCTAGTTCTTCTAGGTGTTCTAACTACTACTGTTGCGGAATTAAAAGTACAGAAAATAAAGAACACAAAGATTTTTACGTGAAAAACACCTGGCTCAAAAGGTGAAAAAACCACGGCCTACTACTCAGTAGGATTTTCCCAAACATCCACTAAAATTACTGAGCCAAAACAGTATTTACAAAACCTTTTTGTAAACCTAAGGATTAACTCTAATCCCTGTGTAGTACACAGCCTCAACTGTTGCGACACCTTCAAGTTAGCCTATAACTTGAACACTCAAAGTACCTATTACAAATGCTTCTATGAAAGCTGAAAAGGTACAACTTTAAACCACCTACTACAATTGAACTAGAATAAGAATAAACACAACAGAAGTGGTTCTTCTATCTCGTTCAAGTAGCTTCAGGTATGCACACTTAAATCTCACATAAATTGCTCGCAAAATTTCCTTGCTCGTTTGCTCTCAATTTAGTTTAACTTCTGTGTATGTGCAACACCTGTAAAAGAGAACAATCACTGTTATTTAATGAGTTAGTAATCAGAGTTTGATTGAGACTCAATTGCTGATCTTCCATCGAAATTGAGTCCTTGTACAATACAAACTCCAACCCTATCCTTTATCCGGATTGTGTCCTCTTCCCATAAGGAGACTTTCTCTCCTCATCCAGTATGCAACCTTTTCGATCAGTTCAGGAGATATTGTTGCTTGATCACTGAGACTTATATCCTTCACGTGTATCTCACATGTCTAGGTTGATAAATATTGTGCCTCACATGATGGACCTGGTCCATGACTGAGTTCATTTGTCATTCTTCAAAACTTCACCTGAACTTGGGCCAACAAATTCCCCCTCTTTGATGATGACAAACTCTATGCTTTTACTAATCAAAGAACCTATAGGAACTCAGCTTGGCCATCAACACATTAACTTAGAATTTTATCTTTTCATCAAGGACCAGGTTTAATTAGGTTATAAATATCATATTATTCAAAATAAAGAGTAAAGAACAATATCTTCCCCATTTTGGCATCATCGAAAAGTTGCATACATTGTGAATCCCAGATTTTAGTAATTACTCATGGCCATTTGGTCAACTGCAAGTGAAAACATGGATGAAATCATCAATAATCAACAAACATATTCAAACTATTAAGATCAGAATCTTCATAGAACAAGAGAAACAACAGTTGTCATTGATAAGATATGTTTCCACCAACAAACCACAAAAAGAAAGAAAAACTTCCAAAACATGAGGAAAAAAACACAGAAAAAGTCCCTAATTTGGGTCACTAGGGGTACTAGACTGGTTCAGAAGACAACAACTGGACATCCTAAGGCTTGGAGGAACTAGAGGGCTAGGTTTGGAGAAGCTTGAGCATATTCTGAAGCATCCCATCACTCTTCTCCTTTTCTTTTGCTAGCTCAGTTCTAAGGCCATCTCTTTCAGTTTCCAGTTCAGCTACACGAGCCTGGAGCCTAGCAATTTCAGCATCCTTAGATCCACACTCTTGAACCAAAGCCCTAACCTTGTTGTTCACAGGTGTCTTCAGAGATGAACCAGGTTCAACTGGGGTGGCATTGACTGGATAGTCACAAGCCAGAAGAGTCTTGACGCCAAAGTGTTCCTTTCTTGATGCCATCTCCTATTTCTTCAAAGGCACATTCAGCCTGTCTAGAACAGTAGTCAATATGAACCCATATGGGGTGGCATGAGCCTTGGAGCCATTTATGACCCTGTCCAGTAATTTGACAATAAAGGCAGGCCAATTGATCTGCATTCCTCTCACAAGGCACTCCATAAGAACCAGGTCCATGTAGTTGGCAGTGTGCCTCCTCTCCTGTCTGGGCAGCAGGCACTTGTTAACAAATTCAAACAGGACCTTGTTCTCAGGCCTCATCTCATTTTTCTGCACAAACCTGGCTTCAGGCACATCTTCAGCAATTGCGGCATCACAAAAATTCCTATTGATTTGAAGAGCAGTAGGGAGAGAATCTAGACATGGCCACCTTTGCCTTGTATAATCATCATACCACTCACTAGGTATGTCTAGAATCTTACCCAATTTGAGTGCATCAAACTGCACCCTTACTCCTTTCACCAGACTGGTGACTACCCCATTCTTCACTGTGGCATTGGCCATAAACTCAATCAATTCTTTCCTATCCAGCCTCTCATCCATTTCAAAGACCATGTTCTTCCAACCTTGTGTAGCTAGGGCATCCACCGGTATTCTCATTCCTGGCTCATCCAGGTCTCTTAACAGTCTTCCTTTCAAAATTTATCTTCTGCCAAAGATGGTAAACCTATCTTGTTCCTTTTCAGATTCCTCTTCTTCTTCTTCTCTACTCCATTCTTCTTCTTCCTCAGTAATTTTTACCTGCTTACCTTTCATTGTAGATCTGGTTCTTTTGGCTAAAGAAGGTTCAGCAGATACAGGTTCAGAGGAAGACTTCTTGGAAGAAGCCTTGGCCCTTTTTGGTTTGGGTGTAGGAACTTCCACATCTGTTCCTCTTTCTTGATGGACCAGTTCCATCTCCTCTTCTTCTTCTGCAACCTCAGAACTCTCCACAACCTTTGCTTTTCCCTTCTCCTTCTTTTTCTTCTTGCTTTCTTCCAGAGCTTTCTGTAACTCAGCTTCACTTTGTTTGACCCTGCTTCTAGTGGCTCTTCCCTTAGATACTGACGGTACAGTAGGTTTTGGGGATGCCATTTTGCTTTTCTTTGTTGGCTTGGAAGCAGTTGGAGCTTTTTGTGTGGAAGCTTTACGCTTCTTTGGATCATAACTGGCCCCAACCCTCTTCAGAAGATCAGCTAGTGTTTCCTCAGCAGATGAACCAGGTTTATCTTGTTGCTTGCTTAGATGCACAAGCCCTTCAGTCGCCTCCCCAGAACCACTTCCCCCCCGACTTGTAGTCACTTTCTTCAATACCTCCACAGATAGCCAAAAAAATTTCTTTCCCATTTCCCCTCTCATCACCACTTGCTCCCTCTCTCTCTTTTTCTTTCTTTTTACCTCCACTTCTACTAGATTCAGCCCCCTTTACATCTTTGACAAGACCAACCAAGACAAACCTATTTTCTACATTTTGAACCACAGTAGAGAATACCACACAAGAACTTACCTCACCAGAGGTTTCTTGAATTTTGTCAGTGTTAGAAGACCCATGTTCTTCACCTTCATTGGCAGAAATAAAAGCTTCAGACTCAGAGCTTGAGTCAAATTCTTGAGTAGGATTTTCCTTCCTCTGGCTAGCCTTCAATTTCTCATTTAGAACTTTTCTTAGAGCTCCAGAAGCTACAGTTTTTCTGGCCAACATATTCTGCCTACGAAACCTAGGTTTTGGGGTTTCACTAGGGGGTGTAGATGAGGATGTATTAGAAGGGGATACTGGTGGGGGAGTGCCAGGATTATCTTGGGGGTTAGTCATGGTGGATTGTTTCTTGAGAAAAATTTGGGAATTTTTGGAGAGAAGAAGGGCGATCAGAACTTGAGAAGAGTTTTGACGGTTATGGACTAATAAAGAAGAGGTGTGGTGTATATTTAAAGATGATTAGAATTAAATGCAGTAACGACAGCTTTTTCATAGGTCAATTAGAAGTCTAATCAAGGTGTAATTCCGGTCTCTTAGTGATTATTAGGCATCGCTAGATTTTAGGCAAAAATCCCATTTTTTTAGAGTTTTAGGGGAATGAAACTGGTACAATGCTCAACGGATAAAATTTCTGGGAATTTGATGAATGTAGGACTTCTGCTCATGATTGGAAAAATAATCTTTCTAATTGTGCAGAGTATAGAAAACATACCTGAGCTTTTCATATGAACACATACTGATGAACCAGGTTCTTTATATAGAACTCTCTTGAACATGCCTCAAATGCCAAAATAGAAGAAACTTTGTATCAGTGAGTCACATGTCACAGGAGTATACTAATTAAGGTATGAAACTGAGTAAGAATTGATCTAGATATTTACACAAAGTTAGAACTCCTAACCAAATTTTTTTTTTAATATTGCATTCTGAACTGGACCTATTAGGTGATCTTAATCATCCCTAATTCCAACCTATTCCTCTCAAAGTTTTCTCTACTCAGTGCTTTAGTGAAAATGTCAGCTATTTGTTTATCAGTAGCACAGAATTCTATTGAAATCAATCCTTTCTCATAGTTATCTCTTAAGAAGTGGTGTCTAATATCTATGTGCTTAGTCTTATTATGATGAATAGGGTTCTTTGTCATACTTATAGCACTAGTGTTATCACAGAATATCGGAATACATCCCACTTCAATTCCAAAATCTACTAGCTGTTGTTTGATCCTTAGCAATTGAGCACAACAAGAAGCAGCAGCAACATACTCAGCTTCAGCAGTAGATAGGGCCACAGAATTTTGCTTTTTGGTAGCCCATGACACAAGATATGAACCAAGGAATTGTGCCATACCTGAGATGTTTTTCCTATCCACTAAGAAACCTGCATAATCAGCATCAGCATATCCTACTAGACCAAAATTACTACCTTTAGGATACCAAAGACACAGATCAGTGGTTCCTTTCAGATATCTCAGTATCTTCTTTATAGCAGTCAAGTGGGACTCTTTTGTATTTGCCTGAAAACGAGCACAAAGCCCTACACTGAAAACAATGTCAGGTTTGCTTGCAGTAAGATACAAGAGTGAACCAATCATACCCCTATACAACTTTTGATCAACTGATGAACCAGGTTCATCAATATCTAATTTAATGGCAGTTACAATGGGTGTGTCTATTTCTTTAAAATCCTCCATTTTAAAATTTTTGATTAGCTCTTTTGTATACTTTTGCTGATGGATCATGGTTCCATTTGGACTTTGTTTGATCTGCAAGCCTAAAAAGAAGTTAAGCTCACCCATCATGCTCATTTCAAACTCACTCCTCATTAGTTTTGCAACGTCCTTACTCAGCCTATTAGTGGTAGCCCCAAATATGATGTCATCCACATATATTTGCACAACAAGGAGATCTTTACCTTTTCCCTTAAAAATAAGGTACTGCCAATTTTACCTCTTTTGTAACCATGCTCCAGTAGGAATTTGGATAGTCATTCATACCAAGCTCTTGGGGCCTGCTTGAGCCCATAGAGATCCTTGTCTAACTTGTACACATGCTCAGGACATTCCTTGCTCTCAAACCCTGGAGGTTGTTTCACAAACACTTCTTCCTTTAGGTAGCCATTCAGGAAGGCACTTTTGACATCCATCTGATCAAGAGTGAATTTCATGTGTGTTGCAAAGGCTATGAGGAGTCTGATTGCCTCTAGTCTTGCAATTGGAACAAATGTCTCATCATAGTCTATGCCCCCTTCTTGGTTGTATCCTTGTACCACCAATCTTGCTTTGTTTCTTGTAACTGTTCTATCTTCATCAAGTTTGTTTCTGAAGACTCATTTTTTACCAATGACAGATCTGTCATTGGGTCTCGGAACTAGATGCCAAACTTGACTTCTTTCAAATTGGTTGAGTTCATCCTGTATTGCATTCACCCAATCTGCATCCTGCAAAGCCTTAACAACATTTTTAGGTTCAATAAGAGATAGGAAAGCATCAAAAACACAGAGATTCTTTAGCAGTGATCTAGTTTTGACTCCAGATGTTGGATCAGTAATAATGTTCTCAATGGGATGAAAACTTTGATACTTGTGAGGTTTCACAACTAATTGATTTCTGCTAGATGTCTCTCCCATGTTCTGTTGCTGATGAACAGGTTCCTCTAGGGGGTTTGATTCAATTTCTCCTTGATTAGTTTCCCCTATCAGGTTGCCCTGATTTGAAGGACCTATTCCATCACATGTTCCTTCTTTTGATGCCACTTTGACTTGTGCTGGGGATTCAGTCAATTCCTTTACCTATCCAATGGCTTCATCTTCATGTTCCTGTCTCTCAGAAAGAATGTTAGTTTTATCAAATACTACATGTACACTTTCTTCTACACATAGAGTTCTTTTATTAAACACTTTATATGCTTTGCTATGTGAAGAATATCCCAAGAATACTCCCTCATCACTTCTGGGATCAAACTTACCTAGGGAGTCTTTTCCATTATTGTGCACAGTGCAACCAAATGCCGTAAGATGTGATATGTTTGGTTTTCTCCCTTTAAGTAACTCATAGGGAGTCTTCTCTACCAGAGGTCTAGTCATGCGTCTATTGATTATCTAACATGCAGTGTTTACCGCCTCTGCCCAGAAGCTGTGGGGCAATTTACTAGAAAGCAGCATGGTTCTAGCCATGTCCTCAAGAGTTCTATTCTTCCTTTCAACTACTCCATTTTGTTTAGGGGTCCTAGGGGCAGAGAAATTATGATCTATACCATTTTCATCACAGAATTTAGCAAACTTGGAATTTTCAAATTCAGTTCCACTATCAGACCTAATGGATGCAAGTTGATTTCCTAATTGTTTCTGAGTTTTTCTAACAAATGCAATAAACATGTCAAATGCTTCATCTTTGGAGGTTAGAAATAGAACCCAAGTAAATCTAGAATAATCATCGACAAGCACCATTACATATTTCTTTCCACCTCTGCTCATGGTTCTCATTGGACCACATAGATCCATATGGACCAGTTCCAACGACTTGGTTGTACTTACCATTTTCTTGCTTTTGAAGGATGATCTTACCTGCTTCCCCCTTGCACATGCCTCACAAACTTTGTCTTCATTGAACTTGATATTAGGCAACCCTATAACCAAGTCTTTGGAGACTAATTTGTTTAGCTGATTTAGACTTGCATGACCAAGTCTTTTGTGCCACAGGAGGGGATCATTAACCAACACACTTAAGCAAGTGAGTTTATTTTCTGAGAGAGTAGACAAATCTACAATGTAAATATTGTTAACTCTTTTTCCCTGCAAAACAATCTTGTCAGTGGTAAGGTTAATCACAAAGCATTTAGTAGAGGTAAAAGCTACAATATTACCTCTGTCACACAATTGTGACACACTTATTAGGTTATATTTCAAGCCATCTATCAGGTAGACATTATCTATGGAATGAGAATCTGTTTTGCCTACCTTTCCAACCCCAATGATCTCACCTTTCTTTCCATTGCCAAAGGAGACATTACCTCTTTTTAAGTCCTCAAGTGAAAGGAACTGGTCCTTGTTCCCAGTCATATGTTTTGAGCAGCCACTATCCATATACCATATTTGGCTCCTCTCTTTCACTTGGACCTGCAAAAAGAAATTAGGGGTTAGTCTTAGGAACCCAAACTAGTTTTGGTCCCTTTCTATAGGCAAAAGGATGAATCAAATTCCTTCTTGCCCCCCAAGTTGTAACTTTGTTATTGTACTTACTGTATTTCCTAAATTGCTTAGCTAGAAGCGTTGATTAGAAATTTTCTTGTAAAATCCATAAACTTTTTGAGTTTATGTTGTGACTAGGTCTAGTCATAAGCAAAAGCCTTTGTAATTATACAGTAATAAAGTGGCTTGTGGTGAGAGCATCACAAGTTATTGAAAGTCTTTGTAACTAGGGAGTCACAAAGTGGCTTGTGGTAAGAGTGCCACAAGTTAGTTGAGTTGAATTCTTTTTAATAGAGTCATTACAAAGTGACTTGTAATAGATTTTTACAAGTTAGTGAAGTTGAAAGCCTATAGGTGTAGGTCGTGGTTTTTGGTCTCCTTGTGTGGGATTTTTCCACGTAAAAATCCATTGTCTCATTTACTTACAGTTTATTTGCATTCTCAGCAGAATCTCGTAGAAGACCAGGTACTCTACTCGCAAATGGAACAAGGCTTTTGATGCACTATTCTGGCTACAAGAGCACCACAGTAGCAACAAGAGAGGACTTGGCTATGGGACCCCAGCACCTAAGTGGGATCCCAAAAGAAAATACATCACACTTCCTGAAAACAAAATCTGCAAACATTGTGACAAGACTGGTCATTACAAAAATGAATATACTGCAAAAGAAAAGGACAGTCAAAAGAACAAAACCTTTGTTCAAGAGAAAACTATTCTGGATGGGCCAAAAGGAATTTAATTCACCCATTTGCCTATAGGAAGGGACCCAAACTAGATTGAGTTCCTAAGACTAACCCCTGATTTTGTTTTGTAGGTCCAAATAAAGGGAAGTAGCCAAATATGGTACATGGATAGTGGATGCTCAAAGCATATGACTGGAAGCAAGAACCAGTTCCTTTCACTTGAGGATCTAAAAGGAGGTAATGTCTCCTTTGGAAACGGGAAGAAAGGTAAGATCATTGGGGTTGGAAAGGTAGGTAAGACAGACTAACATTCAATTGAGAATGTCTACTTGATAGATGGCTTGAAATATAGCCTAATCAGTGTATCACAACTATGTGACAGAGGTAACCTGGTATCATTCACCTATACCAAACGTTTTGTGATTAATCTTGCCATTGACAAGATTATTTTACCGGGAAAAAGAGTT